GCCAAAGCCACCTCAAAACACCTATACTGCCCCTATGCCGCCGGCTGCATGTTGCCAACCTAGGCCCCCAAGCCACCCCAAAACACCTATACTGCCGCTATGCCCGGCGGCATGTTGCCAACCTACAGCCCAAAGCCACCTCAAACACCTATACTGCCGCTATGCCCGGCTGCATGTTGCCAACCTACACCCCAAAGCCACCCCAAAACAAATATACTGCTGCTATGCCCGGCTGCATGTTGGCAACCTACAGCCCAAAGCCACCTCAAAACACCTATACTGCCGCTATGCCCGGCTGCATGTTGCCAACCTACACCCCCAACCTACACCCCAAAGCTTTCACAAAACACTCATCTCGCCGCTATGGTAAGCTGCATGTTTCCAACCTACACCCCAAAGCCACCTCAAAACACCTATACTGCCACTATGCACGCCTGAATGTTGCCAACCTACAGCCGAAGCCACCTCAAAACGCTATGGTAAGCTGCATGTTGCCAACCTAGACCCCAAAGCCACCCCAAACCACCTATACTGCAAGCCACCTCAAACACCTATACTGCCGCTATGCCCGGCTGCATGTTGCCAACCTACAGCCCAAAGCCACCTCAAAACACCTATACTGCTGCTATGCCCAGCTGCATGTAGCCAACCTACACCACCCCAAAACACCTATACTGCTGCTATGCCCGGCTGCATGTTACAACCTACACCCCCAACCTACAGCCCAAAGCCACCTCAAAACACCTATACTGCCGCTATGCCCGGCTGCATGTTGCCAACCTACAGCCAAAGCCACCTCAAAACACCTATACTGCCCCTATGCCCGGCTGCATGTTGCCAACCTACAGCCCAAAGCCACCTCAAAACACCTATACTGCCGCTATGCCCGGCTGCATGTTGCCAACCTACACCCCCAACCTACACCCCAAAGCTTTCACAAAACACTCATCTCGCCGCTATGGTAAGCTGCATGTTTCCAACCTACACCCCAAAGCCACCTCAAAACACCTATACTGCCACTATGCCCGGCTGAATGTTGCCAACCTACAGCCAAAGCCACCTCAAAACGCTATGGTAAGCTGCATGTTGCCAACCTAGACCCCAAAGCCACCCCAAAACACCTATACTGCAAGCCAGCTCAAACACCTATACTGCCGCTATGCCCGGCTGCATGTTGCCAACCTACAGCCCAAAGCCACCCCAAAACACCTTTGCTGCTGCTATGCCCGGCTGCATGTTGCAACCTACACCCCCAACCTACAGCCCAAAGCCACCTCAAAACACCTATACAGTCGCTATGCCCGGCTGCATGTTGCCAACCTACAGCCAAAGCCACCTCAAAACACCTATACTGCCCCTATGCCCGGCTGCATGTTGACAATCTACAGCCCAAAGCCACCTCAAAACACCTATACTGCACTATGTCCGGCTGAATGTTGCCAACCTACAGCCAAAGCCCCCTCAAAACACCTATACTGCCGCTATGCCCGGCTGCATGTTGCCAACCTACAGCCCAAAGCCACCTCAAAACACCTATACTGCACTATGTCCGGCTGAATGTTGCCAACCTACAGCCAAAGCCCCCTCAAAACACCTATACTGCTGCTATGCCCGGCTGCATATTGCCAACCTAGACCCCAACGCCACCTCAAACACCTATACTGCCGCTATGCCCGGCTGCATGTTGCCAACCTACAGCCAAAGCCACCTCAAAACGCTATGGTAAGCTGCATGTTGGGTTTGCCGGGGGGGTTTGCCGTGAGTCGGAATGAGTTTGCAAGAAGGGTAACATATGTTAAGATCATGTATGTCCATCCGCAGCCGTTTAGTAGGAGGAAATTTCATGGTATTTTCAGTGTTTTTCTTTGGTTTCACATTAGCATTTGCAAGATGTTTGCATGATGAGGGATGATTGCTTGAACCAGGTTCATGTTTTGCGAACAAGATTTTTTCACGGGATCCCGCGGAAAATTTGCAGGATTTTTGAACTTGTGATTTGTTGGAAAGAGAAATAAAGTTGTGTGTTTTATTGGAACAGCATAATTAGATTTCCTTCGGAGCCATGTTGAGTTTCGATGAATTGTTCGAATGTTTGGTGCTATTGTTCGATGAATTGTTCGAACGTTATTACTCCCCCCCCATGTTTTTGTTTCGACCTAATACCTACAGAGGTACATGCATGAGTATTGAGCACATTTATATGCGCCCTTCAAGGCTCAAGAGGTATATAGAGTAAGCCTGTGGACAAGCACTGACCGGCAACAGGCTGAGAGTAAAGTAAAATAGTGCTGTCATTGGGGAAGACGCCTTAGCTGATCTTGAAGTAGACGCTAGGGCCCCTCTTCACCCCACCCCCCCAACCCCCCCCACCCCCCCACACCCCACGGACAGCTATTCCAATGTTGGATAATGAGTTCTATGGAACGCAAGCTGCCTGAACGTTATTACTCCCCCCCACCCCCCCACCCCCCACCCAATGGTCACGAGCTCAGAAACCTTGTTTGCTTCGGCAAACCCCTACGGTTGACCCTGCATGTTGCCAACCTACACCCCAAAGCCACCCCAAAACACCTATACTGCTGCTATGCCCGGCTGCATGTTGGCAACCTACAGCCCAAAGCCACCTCAAAACACCTATACTGCCGCTATGCCCGGCTGCATGTTGCCAACCTGCAGCCTAAAGCTCGCGCAAACCACCAACAATTGCAAGTATGCCCAGCCCAAAGCCCACTGCCACACCCGTCCATTTCCAGGTTGGAAAGCCGCACCTGCGAACTTACCTATTGGGTGCCCGTTGAGCTTTTTTGGCAGATCATGGTCACAGATCATTGTGGTCTATGTCATCTCCTCAGCTGGGACTAAACATAGAACAAACATGAACAAACGACCAAACAGTGAACCATATGAAATTGTTGGCAATTGTTGACGCACAATTCCAACCCTTTGCACCGGCTTTGGGGCCCAGAATAAGGATGTCACTTGCTCATGTCCCAAAAACGGGGACGCTCCAGAAATCCAGACAAATCATGACAAATCTAGTATTTCTACTTTCGGACACAACCACATGACTCACATGGCTTCACGCGCCTGTTGTTGAGAGTTTTGAGATCCGTTTTCAGCCGTGGAACCTGGTTGCAAACCCTGCTGGAGAGATCTACTCCCGAGCCCCGAATCTCAGGATTTCCAAGCAGCTGCTGTCATTTCTACTCAGTTCCTTGACTTCTTCGGTTTTCAAACTGTATGATGGAATCACTGAACAACTTGAATACTCTTACAACATCTTAGACCTTTTGCATGTTTCAAAGAGTCTCCTCCCCAAACCACCTCTCAATGACGGGAGCCTTGTTGGAATCCTGATCCAAAATAGCGATTTGCTTTTGCATTTCATCCACCTGCGCGGCTCGTGTTGAACAAAGCTGGGACTAGCAACAAAAACTGGTACCCATCAGACACACCAAGGAGTTGGAAACCCAGAATGATCCCTGTTTGGATGGCAGACATCGACAAAGGAGAGCCGGGGCATGTCCAGAATCTTGAGGCCCCCAGTGTCATCATTCCGTGGTGCTTTTAACATCTGCTCTTAGAGGCTGCAAAGTTCCCATTTAAGTTCTTACCTATTACCGTGTATATATATAATATTGTATATATATATATTATAATAATTATACAATCCTATACCTATGTGGCATGCGAATCGAGTCGCCACTGGCCAGTGGATAATGGGATGATCTCATTGATCAGTAACTTCCCATGGAAAGCCGCACGCTGTGCTGATTCCTGGCGTTTCCTGGCCTCCTGTTGCGAGGCTTGGTGCAACACACGCAAAGCCTGGACGGTGGGTAGTGGAGCATACTCGCTCAATGATACTTTCAGTCAAAAACAAGGTCGTTGCAAAATCCCACATTCAGGTTGCGGAAAGAATAAAAGAAACGACATCCTAAATGTGCTTCCCCCAAGCTAAATTCATCAATTTACAAAAAAAAAGTGACGACTTTGTCATTTACCTGTATATATATATGTGTAACTCAATACCCCCAAGCGAATAGCAAAATCACGCAAAATCCACATTATCAACTTGAAACCATCCTTGAATCTCCAGTGTGATTTGCCCATTGACATCATGAATGGCCCATGACAGGCTAAGAACCAATCTGTCAATGGAACGTCCACATTTTCAGAGTCAAACAGATTTACAAAATTTGTCCAGTTTCTGCCAGTGCGATTTTCTACTGCCAGGGTAGATTGCCGGGTCGACCCAGGCCCTGCCTCTTGGTACGCATCGAGCTCGGGGCTTCGGGTGATGTTAGGTCGAGGGGCCTCCACTGTCCCAACTGATTGGATTCGTCAATGGATTTATGGGGAAAAATAGGATTGAACCATTTGAAACTCTGTTTGTTTTCCAAGAAATATAGGATTCTGTAGATTTTCTATGATTTTCCCTTAATCCACTGTAATCCCATTCTGAGATTTGTTTGGTGTTCCATCCGAGCGACAAGGCTATCTAATCACCATCCAGAACTGGCAAGTCGGATGTGTAGACCATTGTAGCCCCCAGCAGGGTGCTTGTCTCAAAATCTAGAACTTCCAATCCCAGGTTTAAAGAACATTTTGTCCTTTTGAAATGACCATTGAACCCGCCTTCCTGGAAAATCCAACGAAATCCAGCAAAATCAATGGGCGCTCATCCCTTCTTTTCCTTGCCGTGTTAAATTTTGAGATGTCACACTTGTATACACTTTTCACAACTTGGAATTTTCGAAAAAAATTGACGACATTTCTTGATATCCCCAACTTCCAATGTACGAGTACATACTGAACATAGAAGCCATGTAGAAGCCATGTAGATGGATACCCCAAATCTCTGGGCCTCTGGAGCTGGTGGAGGTGGAGGCCTTGAAATCATGTCCAATCTCCAATCTTGTACTGTGCATAGAAATATGGTGGAATCATATGGCATTATATTATATTGTCATAGAGAGATATAGAGATATATTATATTCAGATATCTATAGTGAATCTATAGAGATACACGGAGATACAGAGATACACATCAATATCATTCGCGAAGTTTTACACCCAAACATCTTCTCAGACGGCGGCGGCGCCGGCGCGTCTTCCTTCTTCTTTCGGTTCTGCAACTTCCTGAGCTCTGCAGCTGTCGCTGGTTTGTCCAAACGTTGGAGATACCCAACACAGCAGTTTTCATGGGGATAGTGATGATCAATTTTGATGGAGATACCATGAGATACCCATCAAAATCACTCAATGATGATATTGATGGGATACTGTATGATGGGACGATAATGATGATCACATCTTCCCAAAGATTTCAGACAACCCCACCAACCCGCATCGGAATCTCATCCCGTTCAATGTCAAGGTGCAGAAGGGCCGCCATTGCTCCATCCTGCAGGGCGGTGTCTTCTTTTTTTTCCATATTTTCCATGGGACAAGTCAAAAAAAACATCAGCTATACATGGATTTCAAATTGTAGTTGGTTCCTGTCCCCTTGAAACATCTGATTCTAGAACTCGGGGATAGGTGACAATTGAAGACTTTCAAAATTGTTCCAAAATTGGAGCGTTTCCTGACAGACTAAACTTGACCAAACATATCCTCTATGGTTTTTGTGGGGGTCTTCAATTTATTTCAATTTGTATCGCCCATTTCAGGACCATTGCAATCGCAATCATAAGGTAAGTTTGATCCTCTGTGGCAGAGACTCTGAGACCCAGGTAGAGGGTGACATCATTGTGCGGAGGGAACCCCTGTTGCAGAGCTGGCTAGTAATGAATGTAGTCTTGAAGTCTCGTCAGTGTTCACTAATATCTCATTGCGATCTGTCCGTTTCATGGATATGATCTGGCATGTCACAGGCTTGTTTCTCCCAGACATATCCTATTTTCAAATCAGAATGAGAACATCGCCTCACTCGGCCGCGCAGTGGCTTCGCCCTTGGGCTGCGGTGTCGGGATGTTCACCATCTGCACCAGAAACTTCGCTTTTTCTTCCGCCTCCCGGGTGAATTTCTCCAAGTTTAATTGACTAAATCAGCATCCTGGTTTTCAGTCACCTGGGGTTGCTCTCAATGTTGGTTCAATGAAGTTCAACCGTGTTTTTTTATGGTTGCATTCCGATGTGTTGGTCAAACACCATTTTTGTGTTGCTGCAGTCCCTGCCGTCCCTGCTGTTGCTGCCTCCTCGTCCCGCTTCAGCTCAGCTTCGGCCAGCTCGAGCCTCATGGTTTCCCCCGCAAAAGGATGTATTTATTAAATGGTTTGCGATATGGTTAAAATATGTTAAAACATAGTCATGTGGTAGTTTCTAAATAGATATTGGATATATATATAATGTATATATATATTATAAGGTATATATACATATAATGTATATATATATATATATGCAGCTGGATCATCTGCAACACTTTCGGTTTATGCGAGTTCCTGTCTATTGTTTTTCCCTCTCAGGGGCATCCACTTCTAAGTTGGGCCGTTGCTGGGAAGTCCCGACTTCAGTTCTTCCAGTCGTTCCTCTGCCATCAAACGTCCCAAGATGGAGGCGTCTAACTTCTCTTGCAGCGCTGCCTGTGACGCAGTGGTGGCATAGGATAATTTATAGAAATTTAAATGGGAATTACATAGATATAAGGGGATTTTAACGGGAATTGATGGGAAGTTAATGCGACAATTTAATGGGGATTACAGGGAATATAAAATGGCAATTGAATGGAAATTAAAAGGAATCAAATGGAATCTTAATGGAGATGCATGGCAATCTCATGGGAATATAATGGGATATACCATCCCCCAAATCAGGACCCTGAACATACCACAATTCTAGTGAAAACAAACACTCATCTTCCACCCCCTATTTGGCAGGGTCCATGTCAATTGAAGGAATGGCATATGTATATGTATCAATGATTGTATATGTATATGTATATGTACATGTTTATGTGTATATATATATATATGTATATACACCTATTTTACCTATCTACCTATTTACCTATTTACCTATCTACCTATCTGCCTATCTACCTACCTATCTATCTATCTACCTACCTATCTATCTATCCATCCATCTATCTATCTATTTATCTATCTATCTATCTATCTATCTCTCTATCTATCTATATACATGCACACCATTTATTAAACAAATACATATATACATATATGATCATATATGTGCATATATATATATTTATACACTGTCCGGTATATTTGTTTTGCCATCTTCACGACCTACAAGTACCTTGCTGATCCTTTCTGTGGGCTGTGCAAGCTTTGGAGGTGACATGGACAATACTGGGCAGAACAACTGAATTCTTTTCCTCGAGCAGGGGGGAAAAACACCTGAACCGCTTATGTTCTGAGGCTTGAACCTTTTCCTATGTAACGATTTTCCAAAGCAGGAACTCATAAGCATAATCTGTATACTTCATGTCATTCAACCTAAACATAACAATATTAAGCCTGTATTTTGTCAGTTCCAATGACTTCCAAAATGTGAAACATACGCTTATAGACCCGGGCTTTCACATCAACATATCTTGTCGTCAGGGATGAACATTCACCATTCACATAGAAAAAATACCCATCTCATCCTCATAACAGATCATATCACATTAATTCACTCAATCACTGAGCTCATCTACCAGTCCCTTTCAAGTTTGCACATGGACCCCACATGGAGTTCTAAAAAAAAATGTGGAAAATCATAATGTGGTAACCCAATGCCATAAACCATCTCCAAGATCCTCCAAGTCACCATGTTTATGGCTATGATTTCAACCATCCCTACATGGTAGATCATGGTAGGTTGCTGGCAGGTTGCCCACATTAATTCCCATTATTTGGGGCTTAAAAAACGATCCTCTCCGGTCTCCGTGACGAGAAAAGCCACCACTTTTTCACTGGCACAAATCGATGACGTCCACGGCACCTTGGCAAGTGCAAACAGTTGGGACGTTCGGAAGCCCACTGTTTTTTTTAAGTACGCTTTATAGCTATTTGAAAACATTTTCATCGTTTGATATGCCATGATATGCCTATATAACGATTCATAAATTGCTTTGTGATGATTTGTGAATGGCTTTATAGCTCATTATGATCGTTGCAGGTTTGTGCATGGCTTGGCTCGCTCACCCTGGATACTCTGTTGGGGTGGTTCATGGGGAAAACCAAATACCCTCGGCAGTCCTCCCAAAATCGCAGCGTTGCTGACAGGTGTCCGGCGCCGGGCGGCGCAGGACGTGGCTCATCAGCTTCGACGAGCAGGTCTGGCATGCACGAGTAGACGGAGGTAGCGGAACGGAGATACCTGGATATACCTGGCTATTGAACAAGTGGAACCCTGATGGGATCCTGCAGTTCCCATTCCCAACAACTCTTTCACCAGAATGACCTCAATGCCCTACGGAACCTGAAATCTTTGCGTCCAAAGTCACTCTCAAAGGCCAAAATGCTTAATATGCCACCAAAGTCACCCATGACAGGGCTTTGCCAAGCCATCCGAAAGAGCATTACTACCCCAAGTGTCATCCTACTTGGCAATGGTTTGTCTAGAAATAGTTGGAAATAGGGTTTCCACCAAAATGGCAATTCCAATAAGGAACATGATCATCAACAATCAACCATCAAATTTTGGGCTACCATGGGCTACCCTATTTTCAGACACACCCAAACCAACAAACAAATTGCGGCTCTCAGCAACCCATCCAAATACCTCACCTACCACTGGAGGTGCTTCGGCGGCTGACTCCAGTCCTTCCAGATTCCAGAGCGGTGGAAACTGCCGACCAGTTGCCTATGCCCCTGACTTGATTGGATTCCTTGCATATGTATGTTATATATATATACACATATTATGCACTTACTTTATTTAATGTATGTATGTGTAATGGTTGTAGTCTATGGCAATCACCAGTAACCAATGGATGCTCATCTAATGATATATATATATATATGGTAATTAACGGCCAAACATATGGTTGCTAGTCTCATATGGTCCTCAAAAAATTGAGCACCCAAGGACCCACAGAACTGGGGCTCAATTATTTTGAGACATGGCTGTGCAGTATAGCTGGTCATCATCTAAGGTGCAGGTAGCTCAGGTTGGCTGGTCATTTTTGTCTCAAAGAGTCTCACACCATCTGATTATGGGCTTACCCAAGCATGTTCTACTAGACTCACTAGACTAAACTCCTTGAAGATGGGGGAATCGTCCTGCGTAAATGGAACGCCCACAATCAATCACAAGGGCATCCCAGTCACCGAGACTGGTGAGTATTGAGCATGAAAACTACACCACCCCAAAAGTACACATCCAAAAACTGAGTTCCCTTATGAGTTCTCATCAGAATCCCCAAGCCCCAGAATGAAGAATACTTAGTCAGGTACATTTGCACTCCCGAAAAACCACATGTTCCCATTAAAATCCCATTAGTTCCCATTAAAATCCCATTAAACCGCCATCACTTCAGCATCTCATGGCCTGCTGGAGTGGTAACTTTGGGTCTGAGCCATTTGGACATCGCCAGACTCGAGCGCCTGGAGGGGGAAGGATGGACATTTGGGAAGGGACAAATCATCGACCAACCATTCATTTGGGCGATTATATATATATAATACTATGGTATATATATATATATTGTTTCCAGTTTTTTTTAAACATTACATTAATGTTTTCAGCTATTGGTTTTTAATATTAATGATTTGTCCAACATATTTCACCAACCATGATCATCATATGCATGAATACGTTTCAGCAACCCTCACGCGAAGCTACAAAGAAGAGGATCCGAGTAGATTGCACCGAGGCAGGGCCAGTTTTAGCTGTTTGGTGAGGAGACTTTTGTATCGCAATTTATTCTACCATCTGGTAATTTAACATAACTATGGAAAACCACCATTTATAGTGAGTTTTCCCATGAAAAATGGTGATTTTCCATAATAGTTATGTTAGTTTACCAGAGGGTATACTCAAGCACATGTCTGGGTATTGATCTGAAACTTGCATGGGCGCCTGTGACTGAAAAACTCCCAATACTTTCTGGATATCCTACACACTCCTTTTTCATGGCTTTGGCGTTCTATTTACCAAGAACATCACATCTGAAAACTAGACCCACAGTAACAATCATTCACCATCGTTAAGCATCATTGACCATTAAGCATCACTATTAACCATGGTTAAACCTCGTCACATCCCCTTCTTATGCATCTGATATCCTCCTTGTCAACCTCTGGCGCCTGGGAACTACCAATTGAGTATGGTGTGGCCTGCAGCTTTTAATGATCCTTCAAAGGCAAGTCGTTGGGTGTGGTTTATTGCCTTTACCACACTATCTATAAGGCACCACGTTGTTTGTTTTCCCGATAAAATATGCAGGTTCAGGAAGATTGGCATTGCTATATCAACCCAGTGATCTGGATGAAGTATAATCTTTCCCCAACTATTTCGGCATTTTGGGATACTCCAGTCCAATTCCCATCATTCATTGTATCTGTTGATAATTATCCACATTTCTGTTGCGGCGCCTCTGGGCACGCCAGGCGTCAAGTCCAGCAGAGAAGTCTTTCCAGGTCAAACCGTCTAATGAGGACACCTCTGGAGGAGTAGCAAATGGGGATGGTATATACATATATACACCAATTATATATGTATACTATACTGTACTATGCTGTCTATGTTTATATCTATACACACATTCAAACCGTATATAATATATATATATGATTATATATATATATCTATACGTATATATATATTACTGGCAACATGGTAAACAAAAATATATAGGTCTATGAGATCTATATATACGCAATGGGATACATTCACATATATATATATTGCGTAAACACAAATGTTTTGCAATACTATCAGTGCAGCCGACAAACATTTGGTACAATGAATAATATATATATATATGTGATATGCTCACCCCCGCCCCAGCAGAACCTACCCTTTTTCTTATTCTTGCATTATTTTCACATCTGCCATCTAAAAAACGGCGAAGGTAGGTTCTGGTGGGGGAGGTTGACCATATATATATATAATGTATATGTATGTATGAATGAATGTATGAATGAATGAATGAATTCTATGAAATGTATGTAATGTATGTATGTATGTATTTATTTACTCATTTATGTATGTATGTAATTATCTATTTATTTATTCATTTATTCATTTATTCATTTATGTATGTGTGTATGTGTGTATGTGTGTATGTGTGTATGTGTGTATATGGATACATGGATATATGGATATATGTATATATGTATATATGTATATATGTATATAGGTATATAGGTATATATGTATACATGTATATATGTATATATGTATATATGTATACATGTAACTATGTATACATGTATATATGTATACATGTGTATATGTATATGTATGTATGTATACATGTATACACGTATACATGTATACATGTCTATATACATGTATACATGTATATATGTATAGATGTATACATGTATACACGTATATATGTATACGTGTATATATGTATATGTATGTATGTATACATGTATACATGTATATATGTGTAGATGTATACATGTATACACGTATATATGTATATATGTATATATGTATATATGTATATATGTATACATGTATACATGTATACATGTATACACCTATATATGTATACAGGGATATATATATATATGTATATGTATGTATGTATGTATGTGTAGATGTATACATGTATACACGTATGTATGTATACATGTATATATGTATAGATGTATACATGTATACACGTATGTATGTATACATGTATATATGTATAGATGTATACATGTATACACGTATGTATGTATACATGTGTATATGTATAGATGTATACATGTATACACGTATGTATGTATACATGTATATATGTATAGATGTATACATGTATACACGTATGTATGTATACATGTATATATGTATAGATGTATACATGTATATGTAGATGTACATTAGAAATCAACCAACAAAAAAGGTAAAACGATGGCAGCCGTTTCACCCTGGCTGGTTTGATATTTCCACGTGCCTGGTGCGCCACAATGCCCAACTTCTGAGCTGCCTCAGCCATATGTATGTCATGTCATGTGTATACACATGCAGTATGTATCTATGTATATGTAAATATGACTATATATGACTATGTGTATATTTTTATATGATCTATCCATGTAATTATATAATATGTATATATATATATACACATTTACACATATGCATATATATTATATATATGTTATGTACTATATTATTATTACTATTATCATCATTATTGTTAATATAGGCCCTGGATGGCTCTGGAGGGGCCTCTAGTTGTCGAACCGCTCCAAATCGGAGGTCTCTGGAGGAAATAAAAGAACACGTACGCAGAATATCTATCTTTGTACACATGTATAAATGAAGTCCATATATGTGTACGTAGATATGTATGTACAAGATGTCTACAATATATATATATATATATATATACATAATACATATCATGTCAACCCTGGATTAATAAACCCCTAGGCTGTTTAATTGGGGGGGGTACCATTTAAGTATTGGATTATGACTATTGGAGGAGTACCCCCCTAATTAATAAACCATGGTTTATTAATCCGGGGTTGACATTATTACATAAGATAGTGCCTTTCATTTTAGTCCTGACAGATCTATCAACAACCGCTAAACGAGTTGTGCATGTTGAAATACTTGGTAGATAGTAATGCCTGGAAGAGCTGGCGAACATGTGCATCCGATTGTCCCCCCCATCTTTCGTTGAGGACTTGGCCCATATCGACTGATTGTTCACATCTCCATATTTCTCTTGGTGAAATCTCCATTTCTGTTGGTTGTTTAACCCCCAGAAAAATACTCGTCATTTTACTGTCGCTGGTCGTTGGGAGGTCGGACCCTCACATTCAGCGCCCGGTCGTCGAAAAACAACATCTCGCGAAACTCGAGGCCTGGTGATTTCACACAGCTAGCTGGAAAATCCCAAGTTTTTCTGAGAAAATATAGGAAACATATGGGGAAAAATCATAGGACACATATCAGATAGGCTGATTTTCCAGCAAACCAGATTGATTACAGGAGGGTATCAGATTCAGTGAAAAGGCGCCAGAGGTTTCATTGGCACAATGTCATGAAGGATCCATCTGGGATTCTAGATAATTCTGGTATATGTTCAACTTGTTTATTTCTTTGCACAAAAAGTTGTGGGAAGTCCGTATCTATTGAATTGTTAGCAACTAGGAGGTTTACCAAGAACAAGGTGGGCTACACCAAGGAAATCTAATTCTTCCACAGGAATTCGCAACGATTGGGATAAGCATCATAACAAGTCAGGGTTGGAACTAAACCATCCGATATTGTTAGGAATGTGTTGAAAAAACACCACATGTTGGGAGGTTATGATTTTGGGATAGCAATAGATCTACAAAATGAATCATTGTGGGACTAAAACATCTACTTTTAGGGTTGCAACTACCTCTGTGCCAAACGCTCTATGATTTGAATCTAACACAAAAAATGCAGTAAAACCAATGGAAACCAATGTGCAAAGTGTTTCAACACACGTTTCCTAACAATGTTTTGTGTATAAAGGCGTTGTCCCACTTGACCCAAAAAGATCTTTTTCATGACCGTGGTGCAAGTGGGATAGGCCCCACCTTCAAAGATGGGGATCAAAAATGAGTCTGTTGTGCCACCATCCAAGTACTGTATCGCTCCAAATGTTCGGCCCCGGAAGCTTGTTTTTTCGAAATTTGAGGTTTCGGACGTTTGTACGCCGTTCATACTGGTTGTATCATTTGTCCTAAATGGACTTGAAGCTGCCAGGTACCTAGTCAACCTCATTGTCATGCGGTTAAAGCATCTGTTGAAATTACCTGGCTGCACCTGTGAAACCGTTTTGTATCTACAAAAGTTTGTGCAATCATCTTTGAACTACAAAACCATGTATTTTTTAAAGGTTGCTTTTAAAGCCTTGTAACCACTACGCATGCCACCATTCTGCAGTGGAAATTTCTTCCCAGATGTTAAAGCGCCAACAATGTAGAAAACACACGTAAAAGGCTACTAAATGGGTTTGTCTGAAAATAGGCTGCCCCAAAGTTGGATGGTTTATCATCATGTTCCCCAAATTTATATTCTGATATACTGTACCTATCTTTAAATGAACTCACATAGACCATATCTTTGCAGTGCTCAGTTCTGACCACCCACCAGGGCCGCATCCCCTATGGCAAAGATGTGTCACAAGCCATTTCACCTTTCAGCTGTTTCCCCTAGTCAAACAATGTCAAACATGGCTTGCTGGAAACTCCTCCATAGATATTAAGTTCGATTATCTTCCCAGCGGTAAACCCACATTTCGATCTGGATGCCCAGCTAGCCATGCTTGGTTTTTGGTTTGAGAAACCTATTAAATCGAATTGGACTGCCCCTAGAAATGGAAATCCCCTGAGAATTGGAGGTTTACAGCTGGTTTCACGTTGGATATGTTGGAATGGTTTCTCCCTAAACCCTAAACTCAATGCTCAATTGCCTGAGCCGTCAGCAATTTGTTTGAAATGAGCGGTCTTGCTGCCAGGGTAGATTGCCTCCGACTGCCGTTTTCGGAGCAAATCATCAACGGATCATGTTGTTGAGATGATCATGATGGAGGCTTGATTTACCTATTATATATATATCCATTGGGTGAATCGTGTTTCATATATCATGATATGTCACTATGATTCACTATGTAAGTTTTGATCAATTTATGAATTGTGTTTAGGATCGTTCATTGCACTGATGCGGCAATGGAGCATCCCCCAACCCCCATGTGACTGTTGTATATTCATTGAACCGGTATGTTCCCGGACATGTTCATCAACAAAACCCCTTGTCGTCTGAAACAACATCCCATTAATTTTGAGATAATTTGAGTAGTTTTGATTCAATAATCTTACTAGTGCTTAGTAATCTTAGTAGGGAATGGGGGAATGATCTACAATAACTACGTACAATCATCCCATTCCCCCATTCAATGGCCCCATTCCCTACGTTTAGTACCAGTAAGTAATTGAACAATAACACACCATCCTGCTTTGGGTATAAAATGTTGGCCATGCCAGGGCATACCACCATACAGGAGGGACAGCCGGTTTCAATTCGGCATTGAAACAAAAACAGCAAACCTGCTGTTTGTTTCAGAAAACATGTGGGCACCTGTTGGGTTCGGGACTAAGGGTAAAATCCCTAAACCAAACATCAAACATCATAATAAACAAACTAATATCACAAATTGATCAGGGTGACTCTCTTTGTGCCCCTTGGTTCAAAGCGATTCTTGGGTCGTTCAACGCCCCGGGAGGCGCCATGATCGACTTCTCAATGCCCCCAAAGCCTGCCAAGGTCACAACTTCCTGGTTGCATCTGGTTACCATGCCTGATCCTTCCATGTCCTTCCTGCATGTCCGTTTCGTTTAACGCTTTGCCGCTTTGCGTTGCGGTGCCTGCCCGGTCTTGGAGGAATCCCATGTGCTGGAGCAGAGAGGCGCACACTTTCTCCTGTCGTTCAGTGCTCACAAAATCACTGGGTTTCTGGGGCTTACTTTTGACTGATATCCACACTCAAGGGGACTCCGGGGACCACAGATTCTGGGCAAAGTGCACCATCCAGTGTATTGTATTATTCAATTTTGATTCCTAGCCACATGGATTCTAGCCGGTCCGCCCCAGTCGATGTTACTGGCAGCTCGCTCTCAACCACTGATCCAATCAATTGCTGCAGGTTTTGATGTCGGTGCTGAGGTCTTAAAGAGATGGTGAGTAAACGGTAAAGCATGGTAAAATATAGATACACACATAGTAAAACCCACTATGGTGATGACAAGATAACATAAGGAATTTGGATGTCTATACCTTACACCTCATTAAAGAACCACTCCTCGAACTTTGACATGAAACACCGATAGCCTGCGACAATGTTCAACATCTTTGGCTTCGAAAGGAAGTAGAATTTCGCGCATACGGTCAGAAAAACGGGGGTGCCCCATTCTACCCGCGTTTAGTCACCATATTCCCTGTAAACATGGCCACATTATGCCATATTACGCAATTTTCAGACACCAGCCAAAATCATATGGTTGGTTATGTCATGCTATGTATTCCATTATATCACCAGAATAACCCGATGACATTCCCATGATCTTCTTACCCAAACAGCCACCAACTGCCCTGTTGTCCTGTGAATTGGCGGATGCCACAGCGAGGCGCTGCCCTGAGCCTGGCGTTGAACACATGAGACCAGCGGAAGTCAGGTCCGCCACCCACCCCGGCGGCCCCCCGGCGCCTTTTAGATGCCGTACCTGCATTGATGTCACAGGTATCAAAAAGGAGAAGAGAAAAAAAATGGAATTTCGGTTTCAAGCCATCGCAAACGACTTCAGCCACCAGTTCTCATCCCATTTGGATAGGATGAAACCAACAGCTTTAACAGAAACGATCAACGCCACCTTTCGACATGCGCCTCTGACCGGTGACCACACTGAAATAAAGAATCAACATCCCCAGATAGACAGAGGTACTGTACCATATAAAACCATAGAAATGGGGGCAGATTCCCTTAAATTTAGCCCTTGCATAGGCCTTATATATGTATAATAATATATATATATATTATATATATATCTATGTATATTATGGTAAGTACCTCCAATTGAGGTACCCGAAATGGCCCTACGACTGGGAGCGGTTCCGCGACTGATCATTTTGGGATATTTTGGGTATGGATCAAAACGACCGTACCCAGGAAAACACCAAGAATACATTGAGTATAGTAGGATAGAGTATAATATGATAGTATAATATAACCAAACATAACATAACATAATATGACATCACATCACATAAAATAATAAATAATACATGTATATATATATATATATTTGCTGCACATATAAATGTTATAATAGCGCTATATCTCCATTTTGATGCTTGTAATGGTTAACGCCCAGTCCCAGTTCCCTTCGGCACAATCTCGGCCGCTTCTTTGAAGGGCTTCGCTACGGCGGCCTGGGTTGGGATGGAGTATCGTTTCTATTCGTTTCTATATTGTTTCTATCCTTCATATGGTTCATATCGTTTACATGGCTTACATAGGTCTATATAGGTTTATATAGGTTAATTTGTATGGATGGATGCATGGATGTGTGGATGTATGAGTGTAGGGCTGATGATGGGCCATAAAGCTACTATGAGGGGTTAGATGGGGTTTAACATGAGGATGAAATGCCTTATAAGTTAGTACAGGCTGTAACCTGCTACTTGTAGCTACTGAACCTGACTAATAAGTCTTATTATTAAGTAGGACCCATGTCATCCCATCAATCGAAGATCGAGGAATGGGGTGCATCATTGTAGCTGGAGCTCCAAGCTTTGGCTTGAAGCTGTGAATGACTGGCTTGAGCCGGTCAAGCCATGACTGGAACTGGTGGCACCCTTCACTGAGCGGTTTCAGAATCCCATGAAGTCTGCTAGTAAATACATACATATAATCATATGCCTATATATATACACATATCTCTATATATTTAATTATATCTTTAATTATATATATATAATTAAAGATATAATTAAATATATATATATAATATATATATATATATATTTGTAAATATCTATCTATCTATCTAGCTAGCTAGCTAGCTATCTATATCTATATCTATATCTACTATCTATCTATATCTATATCTATCTATATCTATCTGTATCTATCTATATCTATCTATATCTATCTATATCTATATCTATCTATATACATATATATATATATATCTATATCTATCTCTATATCTATCTCTATATCTATCTCTATATCTATCTCTATATCTATCTCTATATCTATCTATCTATCTACCTCTCTATCTATCTATCTATCTGTCTGTCTGTCTGTCTATCTATCTATCTAATCTATCTATCTATCTATCTATCTGTCTATCTGTCTATCTGTCTATCTGTCTATCTGTCTATCTGTCTATCTGTCTATCTGTCTATCTGTCTATCTGTCTATCTGTCTATCTGTCTATCTATCTATCTGTCTATCTGTCTATCTGTTTATCTGTCTATCTGTCTATCTGTCTATCTGTCTATCTATCTATCTATCCTTCCTATCTATCTAATCTAATCTAATCTATCCTATCCTATCTAGCTATCTAGCTATCTAGCTATCTAGCTATCTAGCTATCTAGCTATCTAGCTATCTAGCTATCTAGCTATCTAGCTATCTAGCTATCTAGCTATCTATCTATCTATCTATCTATCCTATCTATCTAATCTAATCTAATCTATCCTATCCTATCTAGCTATCTAGCTATCTAGCTATCTAGCTATCTAGCTATCTAGCTATCTATCTATCTATCTATCCTATCTATCTAATCTAATCTAATCTAATCTATCCTATCTAGCTATCTATCTATCTATCCTATCTATCTTATCTAATCTAATCTATCCTATCTAGCTATCTAGCTATCTAGCTATCTAGCTATCTATCTATCTATCTATCTATCTCATATTATATTAATTGTATTTATTTATATGGCTTTAAGTACCGACATATAGAAACATATGTCATTGCGCATAGATACGTATATAATGTGCCTCCGATCCAAGCCTGGCATTGCACTCCTTCAGGAGCCAAGCGGTGTGGCGTTTGAAAGCGTGGCTGGGCCGCATCGAAGGCCCACAGCGTCTGGTCCTGGACGCGTGGAGTGGCGGACTGACCCATACCTGGGGGCAATAGTCTAAATATATACAGTAGATTAGACCTATCAGTATATTTACATGACCAAAATAAATTTCTCACCCATATTTTTAAAGAGACCCAACAGGTTGTAATTTATGTATATATATACACATACATTGAATATTAACATTAACTATTACTTTGCTGGGCGCCCTGGAATGCACATCGGAAACAGCTTGGATTGAATGGAACAATGATTTCATGGGAAAGAATGGGACACCTGGGTATTTCTGAGGTATTTCTGAGCTATTTTGGCCACATTCGTGATTTGCTGCCTTTTACAGGGAAAGCTAATGGTCACTGGTTTTACATCAGATCTGGCTTCAACTTCAGCTCACCAGATTCACATAGATTCACCAAGAATTCATGGTGGTTTAAATGTTATCGAACATTGACATGTACCAATACATGTACGTATGTACGTATGTACGTATGTACATGTACGTATGTACGTATGTATGTACGTATGTACGTATGTACGTATGTATGTACGTATGTACGTATGTACGTATGTACGTATGTACGTATGTACGTATGTACGTATGTACGCATGTACGCATGTACGTATGTACGTATGTACGTATGTACGTATGTACGTATGTACGTATGTACGTATGTACGTATGTACGTATGTACGTACGTACGTACGTACGTATGTATGTATGTATGTATGTATGTATGTATATGTACAATGTAGATATTAACCACCATCGAACATGATTCAAGCACAATTAAGAGCTGCTAACCATTGCGAAATTCCAGACCATCACTGGCTTTACCATATTCCAATCCACGTGGTAGCCGCTTGTAGCCCTGGGCGCTCCAAGTCGAAGATTAACAACTTGGGCATTTCCTCATTCCTGGCGAAACGGTGAAGCTCAACTTTGGGATGACCAGTATGGGGCAAGAAGTGGGGATGGTGGGAACATGGGGCTATGACCATGGAGACACCCTACAAAAATATGATTCAGACAAACAAAAATGGGTTTACAAGATTCAACTTCCGGGTTTTGACCCACAGGTATTTAGTTGGGGCTATACCAGTGTTATTTGCTGCTTGGTGTTTCTTCCTCAAAAAAGACCTGACCAATTGTGAAGTCATCCCATAAGGCAACAGCAGCAATTTCACAGGGATGGCTACCAGCTGTCACCGAATGGGGGACTCATCCACCCCCTATTTTGTTGGGTCCCATGGGTCCCATGGGTCCCTCACCAGAAGCTCCGTCCTTTCCATCATCAGGTCGTGGCGTCACATGGCCGGCGCACAGCGAGCCATGACTTGTCGCGGGTGAACCTTGCCTCAAAAAACCAGTTAGGGTTGGGAATATATAGTTGGACTGTGTTGGCGCCACATTCCCAGATATGACGTAGGCGTTTGAAGACCACAAGACTTGGCTGTTCTTTCATTAATAGATCCATGAATTGTCCGAATATGCTCCAACATGTCTCTCTCGCCACAGTCACATACTCTATTGCTTGAGCACGAAATCAAACTTCACACAATGTGATTGATCAGTTTGATATAGTCTAAATTCTTGTGCATGGCGCCAGCAAAGGACGGGTCAGCATGGTTTGAGATGGTTTGATGCCTGTGGTAGGAGAGCCACACGATCGATCCACATCCCAGGCATCAATTGAACGATGGAAACTCTTATCGCACCGTATCGCACCCATCTGAGAAACGATTCTTTTTACCCTGAGGTAATCAAGCAAGGCAGTGACAAGTCCACCATTTGCAGATGATTTTCCAATTCAAACCTCCATTTGTAGCGGATTTCCCCTTGCCATGCTTGATTTCCAATTGTTTGATATCGTTTGAACATTATTTGTGGGTGCCATTGCTGAAGGTGTCCCGGGAAAATGACAATTCTCGGATTCCACTTACCCGCCAGTAATCAAACGTGGCAATGGGAAAACCACCTATAAATGGAGGTTTTAAACGTTTTAATGGAATGAAAAACACATCTGACATCTTAGTCTGTAAATTGAATCGTGGAGTTTCCATTTCCATGTTTGATCACCAGAGGGTAACATCTTATACAGCTTGGGTAAATGAAAAAACATTGCCAGCAATTGTGGATGTGGCTGATGGGGATCGCTTGATCTGCCGGCCCACCTAAAAGGTTTTAAATAAAGTTTTAATGATGCTTATGTAACCCCCACCTAGAAAAGCACACAACTTATCTATTACTTTGCATTCCCCCCAAAAAGATAGAAACGCAACATCATATTATATAACATAATGATAAATCACTGTTCTATCTTTTTTGGGGGTTACTAAACGGCTACTAGGCCGTACAATGTTCTTCTTAAATCTTTTTAGACCTGGAATGGATGCATCCGTAGCCAGCGCCCATGGGATCATGGCCTGCAACTGGCTCTGGTCTTGCACATTTTCCACCTTCTTCTTCAGCCTCAGGTCGTCAATGACCCCATTTATCCCATGTTTATCCCATGTTTATCCTCATTTCATCCCCAATCCCATGGTTCAATGTCTCTTCCCCTTTAAAATATTTAACCATTTGGGATCATTTGGGGGTATACGGTATGATAATTACCCATAAACAAAACCGTTTTCAGCACCCAGTCAACAACATTGAGGTCAACACTTGGATCGAATCATTGTCATGACTCGCCTGGCCCGAGAAGAGCACTTGGGGCGGTCGCCTGGTGTAAAACTGGAGAATCTTAATATGTACATATATATATATATATATGATAGAGTGTATTATAGTATCATCATATATATATAGTATCATAATATATATATATACAAAGTATCAGAATATATATATGTATAGTATTATATCATAATATGTATATATATAGTATCATAATATACATCTATACATATATATAGTATAATAATAAATAGTATTTATTATTATTATCATTATTATTGTTCTTATTATATACTATATATATTATACTATATATATTTTATATACTATATATATATTATATATTATATATTATATATTATTATATTATAATATATTATATATTATATATATTATATATTATATATTATATATTATATATTATTATATTATAATATATATATATTGGGTCTGGTGATGTCTGGTGAACCCGTACCTGTCAAACATCTGGAAGGCTTCAGCCGCTGAAAGGCTCTGAGCGTGACCAAAATCAGTGAGAGCCCGTCAGTTGGACTCATACCCCAAAACCAGGCTTACAAAACATGCGCAGAAAAAAAATCCTTCATTGCAGTGCGTTTTTTCCCCATCTATGAGCTGTGAAAATCTTGATAATGCCAAGCCTCCTGAGACAAATTTTCGACCCTATCAGCCAACGTGCTTGGTGCTCTACATATTTTGCGGTTGGATATGCTGAACATTCAGTAGTCGTTGATGAACTCCACAATGTCACACCATGATTTCACCCCAATGAGTTTGTCTGAAGTACCCCAAAGTCGTTTAATCTTGAATCATTTATCATCCTTTTCCCCGTCTTTCGAAGTCCTTTTGAGGCTCAATTTTTGGCCAAAGCCCAAAATCTTGTTGGTGACCCAAATCTACTTCCGGTCAAATCATGTCAAATTCACGAAGGTCGAACTTCATTGGTTTAGGGTACCCCCAAGAATAAACTACCACCAATGATCACCAATACATCCTGGGGTTTAATCCCTGGTTTTTGGGGAAATCTGCAGGTTTTACCCGAACTCAGAATTAAGGTAACAAAACCATACGCTTCCTGCAGATTTCCCCTTCAACCAATCCAATTTTAAGACACATCTACCGCCATGGTCAATTGTAATTTTCAAACTTCAATGGGCTATGTGAAACTGGCCATTGGTAGTTGATTTATATAAATCATGGCCAATTTCCATGGTTATGTTGAATTATCAGAAAGGTCCCCCCGCCTTGTTTCTTTGGTCCCAATGAAAGCCGCACTAAAATGGTCCGCCAAGACACAGCTTCTCAGCCGCCTCCGCGCGTTTCGTCTCAGCCGCCTGGAGCACCTGGCATGGCTGTGGTGTACAGCCGGAGGATATAGTGCTGTCCTGTCGCTCGAAGTAAATAGATATACAGTAGATGGATGTATATATATATGTCATATTATATACTTTAAAAGATAATATAATATAATATAATACAATATCTAATATAATATAATATATAGTAAAATATAATATTACATGATATATATATACATATTAAATAATATAACATAATATATACTATAATATAATATAATATATTTTATTACATTTAAAATATATAATATAATATATTATATTGTATTACATTATATTATAAATGTTATATATAATATGTTGTATATAATATCATAAAAATCATTAAGTAATATATAATACTAAATTATGTATATATATATATTATATATATATTATATATATTATATTATAATATATTATATTATATTATATTATATTATATGATATAATATTATATTATATGATATAATATTTTATATTATATTATATTATATTATATATATATCATATTATATATATTATATTATAACATATTATGTTATATCATATTATATCATATTATATTATAGTATGTATGAAATTATTATATACATATCATATTATATATATTATATTATAACATATTATGTTATATCATATCATATTATATCATATTATATTATACTATATTGTATTATATTATATTATTAAATTATATTATATTATATATAATTATATTATATTATATTATATTATGTTATATTATATTATATTATATATTATATACTATATTATACATAATCTTACATATAAATAACGAGGTACATATCCTATATGAAAGCAGTGTGTTGGGCCAAAATATAATATCGAAAGATAAGGATTGCTCAGGATCAATGCTTAGACTATTCTAAGGCTTAGAAACCATGGTGAGATCGAGAAAACATAGAAAAACGACATGGAGACCTCAGGATTCTGAACATTTGCAATGCCTTTTCATTTTTCTCTAAAAACTCACCTGATTGGCTTCGTGTGCTGCTCCCTTTCATATTACTATAGGTTCATTGCAAGACCTGGTTTGTCCAAAGACATTCCTGAAGTCGCCACGGCCTTCTCAGCTGCGGCCTTCTCAGCCGCTGCTTTCTCTGCCGCTTTCTCTGCTGCTGCTTTCTCTGCTGCTGCTTTCTCAGCTGCGGCTTTCTCTGCTGCCGCTTTCTCAGCTGCTGCTTTCTCTGCCGCTGCCTTCTCTGCTGCTGCCTTCTCAGCTGCTGCTTTCTCAGCTGCTGCTTTCTCAGCTGCTGCCTTCTCTGCTGCTGCCCTCTCAGCTGCTGCTTTCTCAGCTGCTTCTTTCTCCGCTGCTACTTTCTCAGCCGCTACTTTCTCAGCCGCTGCTTTCTGTGCTTTCTCTGCTGCCTTCTCAGCTGCTGCCTTCTCCGCCGCTACTTTCTCAGCTGCTGCTTTCTCTGCCGCTGCTTTCTCAGCTGCAGCCTTCTCAGCTGCTCCCTTCTCAGCTGCTGCCTTCTCTGCCGCTGCTTTCTCAGTTGCTGCCTTCTCAGCTGCAGCTTTCTCAGCCGTTGCCTTCTCTGCCGCGGCTTTCTCTGCTGCTGCTTTCTGTGCCACTGCCTTCTCTGCCGGTGCTTTCTCTGCTGCTGCCTTTGCTGCTTTCTCCGCTGCTTTCTCTCTTGCTGCCTTGTCTTCTTCCACCTTCTCTACTGCCGGCTCTGCTCCTTGCGATGTCTCAGTGGCTGCTTTCTGCGCTCCGGTCTTGTTTTCTGTTTTGTCCTCTCCTTTTTTTGGAACTTCTTTGGTTTCTGTCTTTTCTTTAGCCTTGGTCACAGCAAGCAAGGGTTGACAGGGACTCACCTCACAACATAGGCTCTGGTAACCTCTAGAGATGAACATTCTTTGTTTTCTGCTAGTGTGTCCTTTGAAGAAAATATCCACAACCTGAACCACTTTCCCAACAACACAAAGAACATGTCGACCTGGTCTGCAAGATGATGCAAGCCAGCCATTATCTGCTTCCCTGGTTCACACCTCTAAGCAAAGAATCACAGTAAATTTTGATTGTGGGAAGCTGCACGCCGGTCTTATTTTTCTGGGAGGGACTTCCTGGGGAGTCACGTGATTTATTTATTTGGGGTTGTTTCAAACTGGGGCACGTAAATTGCAAATTATCTTGTTTTTTGGCCACAAGTCATCCATTTTGCCGGGTCTCCAGGACTCGTTCCATACGAAGATTTCCAAACAAATCCCAACTTTGATAGGCTCAATCCCCAGCTGTTGGTAGGTGAAATCCGACTTGTTTGTTGCCATTTCAATACATTTCGACCACCAGCCATCGTTGGATCGCCTCTCTTCGAGCCCCGTCAGAGCCTGGCGAATTGGCTCTGAAATGCCCCGAAAGGGCAAGAGAGATGTGGGGGCGAAAACAGATGAAAAAGGGATGCCTGTGCCTATGGACAAAGAGATAACTTTTTCCAATTTGTTCTTATTGTTTGAGCTTTTAGAAGGAAAACCCATGGCTTGACTTTGATGACATTCGGGTAGGGAAGTTGCGTAAAAGTCTGGTGGTTTTTGTTAACCCGGCAACTTGATCAACCACTATTTCCTGTGATGGATAAACATGGTGTAGGGAAACCTCCAGCAACTATCCTCGCAGCCAAGGATTGTGAAGTAATCATGAACAGAATTCACACACACACAACAAACAGGATCTGTTTGTCTATCTATCCATGTATGCATATCTTTACAATTGTTTACATACACATGTGTACGAGCTCATCGGATGCACGTGTATGGGAAAAAGCAGCGGCGGAACATTGGATATTGAACAAAGATAGTCAACGCGCAACATCGCGTAACATGTACTTGATGAAACAAGTTCGACCCAAAACTACCAGGCTGTCACCATCAATCTCGCTCCAAACACTGAAATCTTCTCAATGGAACCAATTAGGATGCGTAGTTGTTTTTTGGCTTGCATTTGAGCATTGTAAATGGAGGTCCTAAAAGAATATTTTCTACTTGGGGGTGCGTCCCTGGTAAATGTAGGTTGTATCAGTTATATCTATAATATCTATAATATTATATATATATGTATATGTATATAGTATACACACAATTATATATATATATGATCATATATGTATATATGTGGCTTATACAAAATGGATGCACATCCAGGTACCCTTTCCTACACAAGAAAACTTCGCACTGGCAGGAGAGGGTTCTCTGACTGCCCCATGGAGGGATGTAGTGGTTCCAATCCAGGATGAAATGCAGCTGTCAGTTCCTACTACTTATCTCTCACTGATCCGATCTAATTAAGCTGCGATTGAGGGCAAACATGCGGGTGTCCAACAACGAGTGGTTTCCTTCTCTCAATCGAATGATGTCGCCCAGCAGAATTTGATGCTCAAGGTCAGGGGCAGTCTTCACCCTTGGGCCCCCTGCACTGTTAAACCAGTACTGCTAGTCTCAAGTGGTGCGGTTCCATCTTCGTGACGTACATCCCCCAAAATGGATGCTTTTATCATGTTTTATCATGTCGTTGGGAATCTCCCAGGAGCTCCGTGGCTTCCTATTTCATGGGGAATATTGACACCCATAGCTTCGAACCGCTCCACTGGAGAGTTGGAAGAAACTCCGCCATGTATAAACTCATATGATTTTCCCGGCTAGAAACCTCCATTTAGTGTGGGGATTTCCCAACTTGCCACCGGAGGGTATATACTTACCTCTTCATTCCCAACAGTTGAATCAGTTGATTCAGTGTCCCAGCTCTCTGCGCCTGAGGCTGTGGAAGGTCGAGACGGCTTCGCGAATGGACCTGTGATTGCGAACTATGCGAACTACGAATGGTTTCATGGTGACCAACTATGATGGCACCTAACTAGGCCAACGATGATGGCACCAATGGATACCAATGGTACCTACTTATTGGGAATTCTTGGGATCTATGGGGTTGAGATCACTGATCTGACTATGGATCCAGCATGGTCCAACTATCATCAGAAATCTGACTACTGTATGTACTTACAAGGCAGTAGTTGGTTGTGTGTCGGACGTCCGATCTTGGGAAAAACTGATGCAAAGATGGGTCCATTGATCCTATGGAAATCATATGTCCAAACATCCCTGCTGTAAATGCAGCTTTTAGCTGATCAAGACACCAAACAAAACATGCAAAACAATGCAACACCGAGCATCATCTGTTGGTGACCATTGCATTGTTTCATGACTGCGTCTAAGAGAAGACAGTGAACTGTAAACTGTGACACAGCATTGTTGCTACACAAAACCAGTGCACTTTAGCCATGCTGGAAGGGTTCTTGACTTCGATTAAACACCAGTAAAACAAAATAACCTTGATGTAAACCCTCTGTGAAAACACTCAGTATTTCCTGCTCGGACAAAAGGGAATTGTCCAGAAAGGTGTTCCTGGAGTGTAATCGATACATTTCATGCTGGTTTTGTGGAGATTTCATTTCATCCTATGCAGCAACCACAACCGGATCGCCCTCGCCTTTGGGGCTGGCTGCTTCTCCTAGATGCTAGACTCCCAGAAACCCAGCACCATGTAAGGATCATGTAGGTGCCACTATGGGTTTGTGTCTGTTGATGTGCATGAAGTTTAGTTTAGCGCCTACCAGACTCTACCATCTTTAGTTGTCTCTGTCTTGAGGGTACGTTCAAGAAATATAAACATTATATGTATGTATCTATGTATCTTTGTATCTATGTATCATTGTATCTATGTATCTTTGTATCTATGTATCTTTGTACCTATGTATCATCGTATCTTTGTATCTTTGTATCTATGTATCTATGCATCTATGGATCTATGCATCTATGCATCTATGCATCTATGCATCTATGGATCTATGGATCTATCTATCGATCTATCGATCTATCTGTCTATCTGTCTATCTGTCTATCTGTCTATCTATCTATCTATCTATTTACCTGTCTATCTGTCTATCTGTCTATCTGTCTATCTGTCTATCTGTCTATCTGTCTATCTGTCTATCTGTCTATCTGTTTATCTGTCTATCTGTTTATCTGTCTATCTGTCTATCTGTCTATCTGTCTATCTGTCTATCTATCTATCTATCTATTTATCTATCTATCTGTCTATCTATCTATCTATCCATGTATCCATGTATCCATGTATCCATGTATGTATGCATGCATGCATGTATGTATGTACCGTCATGTCATGGAATGCCACGTACTATGATATAATGCTTTGCTATGTGATGTATTGTTATGCTTCGGCATGGTATGTCATGTTCTTCCGTGTTCTTTTAATTATGTATGTATAGATACGGATATACACACATGTCCGTTCTTTTGAGTTCATTTGAAGGCTCAACAACACCTGGGTGTAGACTTCCAATTTCGACGGCTTCTGACCTTCATCTGCATTACATCTGACATCATCTGAAATTGTTCATATACAATATATATTGTATCATCATGTTTAATCATGTTTATACATACATACACACATATATATATATTATATATATATATTATATTATATATATAATTTATATATATATAATATATAATATATAAATTATATATATAATTGTATATATGGTTGTTGATCAAAATTCCTTTATCCCGGAACGGCCATTCTTCGCGAATAAAAATTTTACTTTCGCGAAACTTTCGCGAACTCCATGTTTATCTTTCGCGGAGCCCATGTTGGCCAACAACACCTCTTATGAAGATTCGTTCACCACCTGCCAAATTACGCCAGAGAATCACGGATCACTTCTTGGTAGCCTTTTAAACATGCAGCTAGCATCACGGAATCCCTTCTCAGGACAGATTTTTTTTGCAAAGTTTACTGGCCCACCCCCTTCAACATGCACTTTGACTTTCGCCCGCTCTTTCGCATAACTTTCGCGGAACTTTCGCGAAAATATCCCTATTCACAGACCCCGGCCATCAGCAGGGGGTGCACTGAAGGAAAAGCGAAGACCAGGGGCCTTGGTGTTTGGCTCTCGCAAAGCCTCACTTTTCGAAACTTGGCTACTGCTACTCGCATTCTCTGGTGCCAATGTCCTGCCGGACCCCGGGCGGCAGTGGGTGGCAGCCCTTTACATATAATGATTATAATACCCAACTTTCGCGAAACTTTCGCGAAATAAAATTTTACTTTCGCGAAATCAAAAAAAAACTTTCGCGAGGGTTTCCAACATAACATGCACGGCTTTCGCAATTAAAACTCCTTACAAGGACCTTTAGATTAACCATCATATATATTATATATATACACGAGCACATGGCATACATGGATGATCAGTGATGATGTATGTAAATCAGTGGATAACGTCCCAGGAAAGGGCCATCAAGTTGCTGGTTTCCCGAATCTGTGCAGATGCAAACATGCATCACCTACCTGTAAAATTAATGCTAAGGTCCCTGTTTTAGGCAAACCATCAAGTCGAGCTACTGTATAATTGTATAAATCCCAGCAAGCCCGTTCCACCAGCCAATGTGAAGTGCTCTCCCAAAAAAGGATGGTTTCATAAATTAATATTTCGAATCAAATCTGTGAATTTATGGCAATGGATACAAGTGGGGCATGTTGTGTGTGGGTGTGTGAGCTTGTGCGTGTGTACATGTGTGCAAAACCTTCCGATCATCCATACTGGCAACCAGGTCCCAACCAGCCCGCTGCGCCTGAAGCTGTAGAAGGTCGAGGCTTCGAGTCAGCACCTGCGATCTGTGTCCCTGGAGGGGGTTTCGTGGTGATGACCAGCTATGATGGACACCCAGATACATACCATCATGTACCATCTACATTTTGGGAATTATTGGGGTCTATTGGGTTGAGTTGAGATGACTCGAAAAATCGGACTATGGATGCAGCATGATCTTACTATCATCAGATCTCATCCGCTGGTGGATTGGCCTCAGAAATCTTGAGCTCAAAAAGATCACCTTGAGGCTGTAGTCGCTTTGTATCAAATTTCCGTGCTCGGAGTGCTTTGATCCCCTTGAAATCATCCATGGTTGATTTGAAAAGGTCCAAGCATCCCTGCTGTAAAGCGCACCCTTTAAATTCCTTGGACGGATCAAACAATCCGCACCAAAAATGATCTGCAGTCGACAGCCACTGGTGCATTGTTTCAAGGCTACGTCTGAAAGAATACAACAAACCGTGAAACTTATTGTTGCTCCCCAAAATGGGTAGAACATGGATGAACAGGGCATAAACGTGCATAAACATGATGTAGACCCTCTGGTGATCCAACCTGGCAAAGGAAATCTCCCATGAAAACACTGAGTATTTCCTGCTCGGACAAAGGGGATGTTCAAGAACGGTTTTCCTGGAATGTAACCCACACTTCATTCTGGTCTTGTTGGGGTTTCATCCTATGCAGCAACCACAACCGGATCGCCCTCGCCTTTGGGGCTGGCTGCTTTCCCTAGGTGCCGAACTCCCGCGCGACCCACCCATACTGGGAAACACCAAGCTAGAAACCAGCACCATGTAAGCATCATGTAGGATCATGCAGGTACCAATATGGTTCCGTGCCTGTTGATGTGCATGAAATTTAGTCTCCAGTCTTCAATAATTTAAGTTTCCTATCTAAGTACGAGTAGTGCCCGGGAAAGCCGGGGGCGGAAATTTTAGAATTGAAACGCTTATACTATGAAAGTCAATGTATCGGCTGTGGGGATGACAAAACCGCATGGGACGCCGCGCATTTGTTCGCTACAAATATCTTCTAGTTCTTATTGAGATCATGAGTCACCAAGCGCTGCCGCGTATCTTTCCCTTTTCGTTTCATCATTGTTTCCACAAAAAACTCTGCAGAAAGAGGGATTGACGTGGCAGGGAATCTAAGCCTGGAAAAAACGAAATCAAAAAACGAGATGCGAACAAGATCCATGGAAAATACATGAAAATACAATCTGAAGGTTGAATCACATCTACAGTGGCAGTCCAGCAGTCTAGCATAGTCTAGCAGTCTAGCAGCATTTTAGCAGCAGCTGGCAGCATTTTAGCAGCAACTAGCAGCACCCTAGTCCAGAAGCAGCCTTGAAGCAGTTGAGCAGCAATCTAGCATGCAGGAGCAGACAGACTGGCAGCAGTTTGGGAGAAGCCCCCCTGTCAGTGTATCCGCAGTTTGGCAGTCGAACGGAACGGTATTTAGCAAAAAAAAATGCCAATCAAATCATGGGATTTCCCTGAAGTTTCCCACACATAAAACTTCTCGAGGACGTGGCCCCGAGCCAAATATAAATGTGCATCTTCTCTGCAACCAATCACAGCCTAACTGTGGTCATCAGCCTACATTGCAATACTATCTCTCGCATGGAATTCTGAACATGCAAAAAACGTGCTATTGCAAAACACCACCTGGACGCAGCACGCACTGCTCTTCCCAAAACTTAGACTGCAACTGGCCGCTATTTAAAAAATACTTTACTTCGTGTAATCCCCACCATTACATTTATCGATTTGTTACTGGCAAATCTTCTGGCATTCTACCTGACATATCTTCTGGCATTCGATCTGGCATTCTATCTGGCATATCTTCTGGCATTCTACCTGGCATATCTTCTGGCATATGTTCTGGTATATCTTCTGGCATTCTATCTGGCATTCTATCTGGCATATCTTCTGGCATATCTTCTGACATCCTATCTGGCATTCTATCTGGCAAATCTTCTGGCATTCTATCTGGCATATCTTCTGGCACTTTATCTGGCATACCTTCTGGCATTCTATCTGGCATATCTTCTGGCATATCTTCTGACATCCTATCTGGCATTCTATCTGGCAAACATTCTGGCACTTTATCTGGCATACCATCTGGCATTCTATCTGGCATATCTTCTGGCATATCTTCTGGCATATCTTCTGGCATTTTATCTGGCAATATCTGGCATATCTTCTGGCATTCTATCTGACATGCTATCTGGCGTTCTATCTGGCATATCTTCTGGCATTCTATCTGGCCGTTGAGGTCCAGCGGTGCTCACTGAGCTCGGAAGGTCCCAGGTTGAGGTCCAGCGGTGCTCACTGAGCTCGGAGGTCCCAGGTTGAGGTCCAGCGGTGCTCACTGAGCTCGGCGGGTCCCAGGTTGAGGTCCAGCGGTGCTCACTGAGCTCGGAAGGTCCCAGGTTGAGGTCCAGCAGTTCCCAGTGCGCTCAGACCCTTGCAGTTGAGGTCCAACAGTGCCCACTGCGTGCGGAAGTTGGCGAAGAGCTTGGCGAAGCGAAGAGTTGGCAAGGCGGAAGTGAGCATGGAAGTGGAGGCAGAGGTGGTGGAGGAGAAGGAGGAGGAGAAGAAGAAGAAGGAGGAGGAGGAGAAGAACAACTCTGATAAAATCTAACAACCCTCACCTGGCAGCTGGGGAATCAAACGCATTGACAAGACTTTCATTACTAGGAGAAGCCTATAGAGCGGAACAAAGACTGTGCCTATAGGGTGCCGAGTGCCGCAAGCCTTCTGTGTTTCGCAGCAAGAAGCTCACGAAAGCTTCGCTTTCGCAACTTCAACTGTCACTTCTTGAGGGAAGCCTTGCACCAAAGCTTCTTTCACATCTTCAATTTTCAGTTTTCGAAGGAAGTCTCGCACAAAAGCTTCGTTTTCAACTCGTCAACTTTCAGTTGTGGAGGGAAGACTCGCACGAAAGCTTTCACAACTTCAACTGTCACTTTTTGAGGCAAGTCTTGGACCAAAGCTTCGTTTCCATATCTTCAACTGTCACTTTTTGATGGTGTTGGTTGTGATAGTGGTGAGAGTAACAGTGGTGATAGTGATGGTGGTGGTTGTGATAGTTGTGGTGGTTGTGATAGTTGTGGTGGTTGTGATAGTGGTGGTTGTGATAGTGGTGGTTGTGATAGTGGTGGTTGTGATAGTGGTGGTTGTGATAGTGGTGGTTGTAAAGCGATGGTTGTGATAGTGGTTGTAGTGAAAGTGGTTATAGCGACAGTTGTGATAGTGGTGGTGATGATAGTTGTGGTTGTGATAGTGGTGGTTGTGATAGTGATGATAGTGATAGTGGTGATGGTGATAGTGGTGGTTGTGATAGTGGTGATAGTGGTGATAGTGGTGATAGTGGTGATAGTGGTGAGAGTGGTGATAGTGGTGATAGTGGTGGTTGTGATAGAAGTGGTTGTGGTGATAGTGATAGTGGTGGTTGTGAAAATGGTGATAGTGATAGTAAAACTCCGTTACACGGAAGTATAGTCTTTTAAAGTTTCTTTGGTGATGTATGTATAGATTATATATAGATAGATCATGATATGTATATATATATATATTCTATAGATCGATATATATATATACACGCATGATCCCTTGCTTTGAGCGATTTCAATTTAGCATTCTGCAGATCAACTGCTCAGAAGTGTACTACCTCCCACTTCAATGAGCACTGACCCATAGACGCATGCAAATCTAACATTAAATGTATGCAAATACATAATTACATAATATTATATACATCTACATATACACATACACACACACACGTGATATATATATATATACACACACACGCAAACTTACACATATATAACTATATGCGCACATAATTGCGCACATGTACATATATGTATGTTGTACGAGAATTCTGGGTATCCCTCTGTCTACCTATACATCATCAAATATGCTCTATGAAGGTATGTATCTATGTGTAAATAAATGAATCTGCATATATATATATATAAATACACATACAGAAACAGAAATGTACAGTATTATATATATATATGCACATTTATAAACACACACGCACACAACACACAATATATGTATATATTATATATATAACAATATATCACATACATATACATACTGTACATGGCATACATGGATGGTTTGCAATTAATGAGTCTATGGATAAAATCCAAGAAACATATAGACAAAGGGCATCCAATTGCTGCTTCCTCCAATCTTCCCATCTATTGCTGTATATCAACATCAAGTACCAGTACATACCAGTACCTTCTGTGGTGAGGCTGGGCACAAGGTCATCAATTCGAGCTATGAATCCCGGTAACATGGACTTCCCAATTTGGATGGTTTCATGCTACTCATCCCAAGAAAAATCCAGTCAAATCATAGCAAATTGATGCAAATTGATGGGTTGATCACGGATAGGGGATAGGGGATGTTGATGCATGTTGGGTGAGTCTGTATGCTAAACCTTCCAATCACCTATACTGGGAACCAAATATCAACCAGCCCGTTGCGCCTGAGGCTGTAGGTCGAGACTTCGGGTCAGCACCTGCGATCTGTGTCCCTGAAGGGGTTGCGTGGTAATAACCAGCTATGGATTGACAAATATGGACACCCAGCGACGTACCATCTACATATTGGTCTTTTTCCACATTTGGGGTTATGATCACTTTCCAAAAGCTGACT